CTTAAATCATTGGTAATCTGAGATCACATCGCATCCCATCCCAAACATATAATGTATTAAAGAAATAAAAAAAATGTTGCTTCAGACTATACTGGGCTAAGTAGGCTAGACAAAGAACTGATCATGTATCAAACCAATTTTTGTTTTTAATACTCAAAAAGTATGTACTCTCCTAAACATAAGATCAAAACATATTATATTAGTTTGTTTCAAGTGTTATTTGATCAAGTGATTTCAGAAGTCAAACCAGTTTTCTTTTTTAAATCCAGTAAAACATTTAAGATGCTTTTAATTAGACCAACCTATTTTTACCAAACCTTAACAGGGTCAGGTAGTCAGGCTAGATCAATAGGCTAATATAAGTAGCATTTCATAGCTAAACACACCACGTAATATTGAACAACTATTGGAAGATTTTGGGCATTTTGCCTGGAGTAAGAGCGAACAAAAAAGTCATTGCTTGTATATTTCTTGATTAAACTAATGTTAATGTATTAACCATGTTACAGCACAGTTGAATATATATTTTTTTTTAACATGCGTCATGAAAGAAGAAGAATATATGTATCTGATTAGTTTTATAAATTTTATGGAATTTAACGATATTCTTCTTGGTTGATGTGCATTTATAACAATGGCACAAACTTAAATAAAAGTATTAAATACTGATCAATTCATCGATCATAACAAGGTGTACCCAAAGAAGGAAGCATGATCCATTACGAAGGATGTTTGCTTCCACTAGGAATTTTACTTTTAGTTTTCTCAAATATAAGGTCTTTTTAAAGACTGATTAGATAAATAATACAGTATCAACACATGTAAATCTCAGTGATATGGAGAAAATGTGAGACTTTTAAGAGTAAACGTTCTCGGTAAAAAAGACCTTCGAAGTATATTTTTTTAAAAAATACTCATATTCAAAGGAAAATAAATTTGATACAGTGTTATAAAATAATATGATAAATTTTTGAAAATGACAAAATGAAAATTTACACGATTCAAACTAAATAAGTAAATATATA